AGTAAATATTTTTAACATATTTATAGCTATAAATAAGTATAAAAGTTCAGCGTAACATTATTATTATATTTATAGCTATAAATACGTATAAAAGTTCAGATTATTGTAATTAACATGTTTATAGCTTTAAATAGGTATAGTAGTTCATATATCATACATTTGCAGTACTGTTCATTACAATAGCATATATTCTGTTTAAAACAGAAAAGAATTATGGATCGTTAATTGTTAGCCATAACGTGTCAAGTGTGTTTTATCTACTACCCCTATACTGACAGAACAATAGAATGGTGCTATGGCTAAAGGACAATGGATGAGCACTTGTACTTTGTATAGCAAGACCCTTATATGTTTACGTGGTATTTTGTTAACCACCTTTCAGAGTCATATGACAGGTGGCGTGGATGAGGAAGATGACGCTTACCCTTCCTGGTTTTATTCTCCTGATACGCTTGCAATGGTCTCCATGTCAATTTTTCTCTTGTTCATATTTTACCCTACTTTTATCAATTTGGAGTTTGAAATACAGTTTTTTTCTCTAGTTTTTCTAAGTCATTTTTTTACCTATGTAAGTCGTTGCAAGCATATGCAATATTAATACTTATGATGTATTTAACAGAATACATCATGCCAAAGAAGAAATAATGAGAAATGTTATCTTTAATGTCGAAAAAAATATAGTATCAGTACATCTCATATTTAAATGATACAATGCAATACATATAGCATCAAAAACCAGTTATATTTATTAGATACAGCACAATAGCATATTGCAATTTTGTATGTACAAGGAACACCATAAAAACCTGTTGCATTTACAATATAAAGAACAATAAAATCGGCATTTAACTGGTCATATCAAAATACAATACAATAAACCTACTTAGAAAAGCGAACACTCTAACATTCTAACTCTCAAGCAATATGAAGCTTTAATTAGAGTGACACACATCAAATTACATTCTTACAAGACATAGATAATATACACATTTCGTTTGAATAGTCATTGAAAATAAAGCTGCAGCCTTGAATAAATGATGTACAGCCCAGCCCTAGTCAGATTATGAGACATCATATAAGTATTTACATAATTTACAAGTGTGCTAGTGTCAAGTTAGCTTTTGTCTTTTCTATAAAAAAAACACCCCATCTATATTTAAACCTCAGTCAGAATAAGTATCCAAGCAAACAGTACAGGTAAATTTAACTCATCAAATGGCATCAAATGGCATCAGATGACAACAACTGTCAAACCAAAACAAGTATGCATCAAGCTTAAAAACTGTTACTGGTATCAAGAGTAAAAGGTATTAGTTTGGGTGGTTCGAATGCGTAGAGGAAAGCGAACTCGCCCTTCACCAAAACGGCCGGGGTTTAACTCCCCGATCGTGAAGAGGTATTCGGTCACCTGTCCACCCGCGTGGGCTTTCTCCGGGCTTTCTCAATTACCTCTTTCATTAAGACACCCTGCGCACTGACAGCTACGGCAGACCAACAAGAGCAATTAATATAAGTTAGGAAACTTAAGTAAGTCACACACACGTGATTACACCGATAACATTTGGTAATTGATGACACTATTTTAAATGAATGAATTACTGCTATGCATTGAATTCCGATATTTTTTTTTTACAAATGTTAAATATATGGAATATCGAGTTTTAAACAAGCTATTTTAACTGCTATTTATAACTCCATGTATTGCTACCGTTCCAACAAATTCGATACAGGGAAGTTTGACAGAATTTTCAGCATTTAGCAGGAACACATTTTAAAATAACAGACCTCAGTGTTTGTTTACAAGCCTGTCTAAACCTTCTATCGAATATGCTGTAAATGATCGGGTTTACGGCACAGTTAGCGAAGTAGGACCTCAGGAAGAAGCGATAGGCAGTCCTGGCAGCATCATTGTTTTGCAAGCTGTCAACAAAGTCGTCTTTAAGTTCTCTTAGGATAACAAGCAGCAGGTACGGCACGAAATTCAAAATAAAGACCATGGATATAATAAACATTAAATACGTTGTACTTTTTGCGAGATTCTTATTTTGTCGGGATGTGTCTCGAGAGATGTGCCTGTGGTTGGACGGAAGCACGCTACTGACCTTGGTTTTGAGGGAGGATATTTTTGAGATTGAAGTGTGAGTTGAATCTGATAGAGTTCTAATATTTGGAGTAGTTTCCTTCGTTTTTGGCGAACAATTTACAAGAATTATCGGCGCGCTTCCAATCGTTTCCCCAGTCTCCACTTCATAATATGCATTGTCCTTTGAATCACACGAATCACCTTTCTGCTCCAGATCCGTTTCTAATTCGATAATTTCATGTAGTGTTTGCTCCCTGTCAAGCGTCTGAACGAGCTGGTCGGATGATTTACTTTGATTAAGCGTCTGATTATTTTCTTCTGGAATGGGTAACTTCCTACACCTGCGTTTAGGATTCTCACAAACCGAATCCGCTGATAAACCATCTTGTGACCTCATCTCAGAAACTCGCCTCTTCACTGCCGTGTTGGCACCACTATGCGTGTCCAAGACAACGGACGAATTTTTCCGTTGTTCCTGACGCCTTGCGAAGAATCGGACATTTCTACCGATGATGGAATACAGTGTTACCAGTGTCACAGCCGACACGATAAACATTAGCAATGTGACGACGTTATTGATGAGAGGAAAGAGAGATTCAGACCAAGCGTCGCTAACGGAACATTCAGTACCGTTATACACAAACGACTCAAACACTACTTCGCGGGTTCGAACACCGTACAAAAAAATATTCGGTATTGAAAACACAACACCAAATACCATCGAGCACACACTTAAGATTTTCGCACTTTTGTTTGATATTTGCCACTCAAGAGGTTGGCAGATTTTACGATATCTGTCAATAGCTATCAGTATTAATATTGTGGACGCTGATACAGTTCCGGCCGAGTTTACGAACCGAGATATCACACAAGCGACGGGGTTGTCGAACTCGTACTGGTTCAGAACTGTTAAGATCTCAACCGGAACTGCCACTACGCATGTCATTAGGTCAACGGTCGACAGGAATCGGATGAAAGAACGCGAGTTTGAGTTGGTATACACTTTGGTGTAGATGTATAATACTATGGAGTTTCCGACAAGTCCCACTAGAGACAATACTGACAAATATACGGACAGGGGAAACTGACGGAAAGCCTCGGCCGCATTTATTTCAGAAAGTGTCGCCATGGTTACAGATATTTGCTGTTTCCCTTATTTCAAGCACCTTACTTATGTTTTGTTTGTTCTGTGTTGATTATCGGCGCTGATGTTACGACACACTCTTTTTTTTCAAATTCAGTAGCATTCATGGTTTCCCGTCATTTTGAAGACGTATAGTTTGCCTTGTTGCGTTCGATGCGTAACCGGTGGTTTTGATGACGTATACCTTCCACTGTGAACTACCTGTTGTCGTGACGATTTTTTTCTGAAAGAGAGAACAGTGACATTAAAGGAAATGTTACATGTTACAAATGATATCTATATTAAGATATAGATAGTATTCGTAACATAAATAACCAATCAACGAAAGTATAGATGTTACTTCTTAGTTCTTTGAGTTCGCTGAAGTATCTACCTAGCATTCTTACATTGTCACCTTTTTTTTTTCATTTCAACAAATTTTATTGACAGATGTAATAGTTAAATGGATTGCATAAAAGGCAAGCCTATATACATTCTTTTTAGGAGTGGCTCAAAATTATGATCGAATATATAATTAATTTAAGGATACTTTGAAATGAAAAATTATAAAGAGTAA